ATTCATTCAGAAATACTCAATTTTTCTCTACTACTGATAATGACCGCTGTGGGGATCAGGCTACGCCAAAAGATCATGCATTTCGATCAGAGAATGCGACCGTACTCAGGTTATTTAACAAAGTTAGCAGCCTCTAATTACCACCTCCTTTGGTCACTATCGCATCCTTCAAAAAGCAAAAGTTCCGAAAATCAACCTCAACTCGAGAATGAGGTCCACCTCTTCATAGTTGCCGTAGTTCTATGAGAATGGAAATGAGAAGCTGTGCAAAAGAAAGGCACTAGTCCTAGTCATCAACTGCGGTTACCTTGTAGATTGGAGATGTCCTTTACTGACCAGAAATTTAGTTCGAAAAATTTGGTCAAAGTGTCGCAGGACTTTTCGAACAACCTAATAGTTCGGAAGATAGCGCTTTCTAATGGCTATCCCCCGAAAGGCGCATGCCCCCCTGGACCACCCACGAGGAGCCAACAAAGTCCTGTGACCGGGGGTTGGGATAAGGTACCATTTTGCCTACCTTTTGTAAGTGATGCGATCAGCGCTGCTGTAAGATCTTCTCTGCGCAGGTGTGGTCTCGACAATATGGTTCGGGTGGTCGAGATCCGCGAGCCTCAAGCAGCAGCTGATCCGCAACCGCGGGTATGATCGCTACTGCCCAACCCCACATTGTGTCACATGTCCTTCTGGGCGGGAGGGGGACTGCATGGCTTCAGGTGTGACCGCAAAACTTTGGAAGCGTTTTGGATAGCGCTAGAAATCCCAAAATGAACAGAAAGGACGAATGCCTGGCCATCACAAACGAGCTCGCCCCGTTTGCTGACCTGTGTGGGCTTCAATTGCCATCGGCTTCGAGTCGAGGGGCTAGGTCAGCTGAAGCCACCCACGGGGAGTCAGTTTAGCGGTGGTCTCAAGCAAAACCTGCCGTACATTCAAGGTGAGTCGTGTTGTGGTTGTGACCTTTGACAGGTTTCTGGACCCTTCTGGGCTGGTACAAACTTATCTGA